ATTTACATGAAATCTAAGATTTCATTGTTTCGATGTTTAACTAACTTACTAAAAGTAATTTACAAATGAAACTTTTTATCTTTTGGAGGTAAGAAAGAATGCCTAATTTTTAACAGAGTTAATTTTCAGTCGACTCTTAAGAAAACAGGGAAGCTTTAGGAGCATAATTAAACCACATACTTGCTCTAATTACTTTAGCTCCAGACTGCTAGGAAACAAAAGCAGCCAACAGACCTGTTCTGTGTGTAGCAGTCAGGCATTTGATCATTGTTTCCTTCAGCAGAGATTTTGAGTGAAACAACAACAACAACAACAACAAAAACTGAGACGCAAAGCCATCATCTGCAAACGGTGACTATAGCTGCAAATCACAGGACTGCCCTTATTTCTGCCTAGTAGAGACAGCGCGTTCATTGTACATGACTTTATTTATGTTCAGACACAGAGAAATCACTCGATATCATGGCATAATTTTTGAGTATCAAGATTAGCACCACATTTTGATCTACATAATTGGGCATTAGCTCACAAAGATGACAGAGTTCATAATTATAGCATAATTTGTACATTGGGCAAGAATAATAGCCCTTTTATGCTGGTAACTTTTCTTCTTATGCTTTATTCTCATGAATAATGTCTCCTGAAACTGTTCATATTTGATATAATAGTTTAAATTTTCATCTAAGTAAATTCACATTTTAATTAGCCATTTTGAATACAAGTTCAGATTTGAATAGTAATGATCATGTGGATAGGGAAAGAACAGTGAAGTTTTATTATCACTGGATAATCACTGGATTAGTCAATGCAATCAGACAATTGCTTTCTTAAGACAGGATTCATAGGAAATGTTTTTAAAGATAAACCTCATTACAAGCATATTTCTTCAGTAGATGGACTGTGTTTTAAATGTACCATGATGCTTTATCCATTTCCTTTAGTTTCTAGATGTAAAGTGTCAGCTGCAATGCTTGTGGGGTTTTCCCTCTGTGAAAGAAGTGAACTAAAATATGAAGCATTGTAGATTTTATGACTTAAATGATGTGTGTCAGACTCAGTTCAGAGCCCAATTTTACAGACATTAATTGACTAAATATGCAAAGCAAATTTGGCTTTCTGTAGTAACAAATCCTAAAAACAAAATTTAAAAGAAAAAGTTAAAAAAAAAAAAACCTAAGAAACAAGAGGAGAGCATTAAAGCAATCATCTGGTGAATTCAGCCTAAACACAGTCTCCACTTTTTGCCTGATTCAATGAAATGCCTGTGCCACCCCTCTGGTTTATTTTGCCTATGGAAACCTGACCTAAACTAAACAACTATTCTATATCATTAAGTTGTCTAGGAAGATGAAAGTTTAAATATATGCCAGACAAGCTGCAGCATCTGGTGCAATTGAGTAATGGTGGTCTTCCCTAACAGCTTCTGTGCTAAAACAACTCTAGGAGAGCAAAGCTTTGGTTGCCCTATGGGAAGAAAATTATGGTCTTCTAGTCAAACATTCTCTCAGCTCACCAGGACTCACACTTCCTGAGTCTCTCTTATTGCAAGAAACATACAAAGGAAAATCCCTGTATGAAACATCCCATTAAAACTCTAATTGCACTTTGTTGTAGTCCAACAATACACCTTGGGTACAAAGTGATCAGCACAGCTAATCTTTCAACTGTGATTGTTCAAAAATTATCTCCACTTTTCTAACACATTGATTAGTCCTAGATTCTCTCCTCCCAGAAAATCATGACATATTGTTTCAGAATTATATGTAAAATTGAATCGTTTACACATTCTCTTATATTTAGTTGACATGAAAACCAACTTGGCTCTTACTTTAAATAAACATATCAGATTAGATAAGGTTTTGGAGCTGGTTAGAAATGATCCTGATGACATTTGTTTCCAAAGCCCTCTTTATAGCCTGTGTAACAAAATATACTGAGTCAATTTTACAACTCTTTTAAAATATAAGAGAATCAAGTTTAATGTGATTTTTAAATCAGTGGATGAGGAAAAAAACTTGTAACAAATATGATAAAATTTAAAAGTCTTTATTATGTAAACAAATCAGCACATAAAACACTAGTAATCCAACAGATAAGACAAAGGATATAAAAAGACACTTTATAGACAACAATACATAGTAAACATACAGACATTTTACCTTAGTAGTAAACAAAAATTAAAATAACAGTGCAATATAGCATTTTGTTTATCTGTAGATTTTTTTAAAACTAGCAATTGACGTGGTGAAAGGGTAAAGTGATACAATATTTTAAAAATGTACCAAATACTCATATTTTTACCCCAGTAATTCTCATTCTCAGATTGCAGCCGGAGGGAAAAATTTAAACATTTTTAAAAACCACAGATTCAAGATATTCATTGCAGTTTTATTTATCAGTATTATGATACTGAAAAAGAAAACAGTATAAATATCTTTAAACCAGAGGGATGATTAATTACAATATTAGACGTTAGAAATGAGACTATATTGTTTTATCACAATGTGTGAGATAGTACACTGCATTTTCAATGATATTTAGGCTGGTTGATATTTCTATGGGGGAGTTATATTTCCATGGGGAAGTGTTACCATGTAATGCTGACTGAAAAGAACAAGATACAAAATTATATACAAAATAAACCTATTCCTATTTGTAAAATCTCTATATACCTAGGTGGTAGAGACAGGAGGATTGTTAAATCTCTTCAGTACTTTCCCCATGCGCTTTAATGCTTTTAATGTATTTTAAAATGTTATCATTCATAGTACTTGAAAGTGCCTTGTCTTTTTACATTTCTATTGAAAGCAAACCTTGCATTTCGAAAGAAATAAAATAAAATGCCTATAATAAGAAGTCCAAATTAATGTATCCACAGTCATTTTGATTGTAAATGCCTGAATCTTCTACATACGCGACTAGGAAGCTGAAACCTGTGCTTAGCAACCCCAATCCATCCACACTGTTCCTGCCTCCAGCCTTTTCCCGAAAGCACAGCTGCTTTAGCACCTGTGAATTCACTGGACTTACAAATTACTGAAAGCAAAAGAAATGTTAATGCTTGTTTCTAATGATTTGAGATCAACAAAAAAACATGTTTTTCCCTTCAAATCAAAGCATCAGAAAGGTGCTTCCTATTCTAACGTGTTTCATCTGTTTCTAACACATTTCTTAAGAGGGTAGAGATTGAGTCTATTTTTATGATGCCTAATTTGTTGTTAGACTTTGTAAATATTACCATTTGCAGTATCTACTGTAGAACAAAGGTGAACTGACAGTCCGATGTTTGGAAGAGAAGTACCACCTGTCCCACCATCCCTCTTTTCAAATGTGGTCACTCTAATTAATAAAATCTCAACTTATCTGCATTCTTTAGAGTCTAAAATGAGAAAGGCGGGGGGAGGGGAGGGGGATTAGAAAAGAAAGTTTTCAGGAGGTTGCACTTACACTCTGGCATTAGTTCCAAAAAGAAGGGAGGCAGTAGGCTCTTATTTTTGTGATGTCAACTTGTAAACTGAAATGTAGCAAAGACCTTCTTGAAATGAAGGACGTGAAATATATTCGAGGACACGTATTCAGTACAATCCTTTGTTCTAGATAGGAGCTTTCCTTTTCGTAAAGTTTTTCAGTCTCCTTCAAGGAAAGAGAAAGTTAATATTTGGAGATTCCTTAAAAGGCACCTTTCAAAGCATTTCCCAAGAGAAAAATATGTCCACAGCTCAACACTCATGTTTTCGGTAAAAAATCAAGTCCGATTTTTTTTTCAACATGGCTGTATACTTCGCAGGCCCCAAAATTTGTACTTTCACAGTCGTCATTAACCAAATAGTCAGAAACACACTCTCCAGTGAACCTGAGTTTCATGGGCTACAAACGCACTCTGCGTACAAATTGCGCTAATTTTGGAGGCATCGCTGTTATTCCTGCGTCTTAAGAGTCGTGGCTTTTGTCAGGGGTAGAGCGGACGAGGGAGCGTCTGCAGCATGGTGTGCTGCAGGTCTGAAGACCCAGCTCTTTAACACGTTTCCAGGGATTGCTGACACTTTCTCCTAAGAGGCACAGCCCACAGTGCGCAGCGGGAGGGAATAGATCTGACTGTGATTGGAATGGAGAATGTGTGCGAGGCATTGGGAGTGAGGGCACCCGGCTGAGAGGTCACCGTGGCTCTGGGATTTGCAGGAATTTATCACCACCATTAACAGCTACTTTTGGAGGGTTGTTTACCGCCTGATCCAGAGACAACTCGACTGCAAAGCCCACGGTGGGACCCCAGCCACGCCCCCTTATTCCTCAACTCCCCTCCTTCCACCAAACTAATGAATTCAGGGCCGCCTCCTTGATGGACCCTCCCATTGGCTCCTATCCGAACCAATCAGAGCCTTGCAACAGTTTCACCTGGCTCCCGCTTCCCAAATAAACAAACAAACCGTCCCGCACAGTACCAGCTCTGCTCCCTGGCGCCGCTGACGCTCTGCCCCCTCCCGCCACCTCTTGCCCCACTCCAGCCAATCAAGTCAGGGCTGTGGCGCCCGCACCCGAGCCGGGCGGCTGGCCGCTCTCCCCTCTGCTCCTCCTGGCTCCCCCCCCCCACCGCCCCCAAGCCTTCTGAGACTCCCGGTTCGGCTCCCCCGAAGAGCCCCGCCTTCTCCCATTGGTCCTTTGGTAGACCACAGGCCCCAAAATTAATCCCGAGGGTCTCCGCAGATGTGGAGACGGCCCCGCCTCTGTGGCCCCTTGTCCCCTTCCCTTGCCCACCTCTACTGGTGGCCGCTTGTGCCCCTCCGCTGCGCGGGTAACAGAATCTGGAGAGGCCGCCGCGTGAGGCAATGGTCACGTGTTGTTTTGCCCGCTGCCTCGCGCCCAGAGTGAAGTGGGCGGGGGCGGGGCCGGGACTGGAGGGGGCTGGGGCGGGCGGACAGGGGGAGACGGCCTCTTCCCCCAGCCCTCCCTTCCCGACCCCCCCTCCCCTCCGCTCACCTTAAAAACCACCGTGCATCACCATGGCGAGTTGTTCCTTTGCTGGCGACAAGGCGACAAGGAGACTAAGAGCTACAGCAGCAGCAGCAGCCTCGGCAGCTCTGACTGCAGTGGCGACCACCCGGCTTCTTTCCTCGGGACCCCCGACCGCACTCATTGGGAACGGGTCATCCTGTCCGGGAGCCATGTGGCTCTCCAAGGCCACTGGCTCCCGGTCAGACTCCGAGTCGGAAGAGGAGGACCTCCCCGTCGGGGATGAAGTCTGCAAACGCGGCTACCTGCGGAAGCAGAAGCACGGGCACAGGCGATACTTCGTGCTCAAACTCGAGACCAACGATGCCCCGGCTCGGCTGGAATACTACGAAAATGCCAGGAAGTTCCGGCACAGTGTCCGGGCCGCGGCTGCTGCTGCAGCGGCGTCTGCCTCTGGGGCCGCTGCCCCTGTGCTCATCCCACCGCGGCGCGTGATCACCCTGTACCAGTGCTTCTCTGTGAGCCAGCGAGCTGATGCCAGGTACCGACATCTCATTGCCCTTTTCACCCAAGATGAGTACTTCGCGATGGTAGCCGAGAACGAGTCGGAGCAAGAAAGCTGGTACTTGCTGCTCAGCCGCCTCATCCTCGAGAGCAAACGCCGCCGCTGCGGCACGCTAAGCGCACAGCCGGACGGAGGAGAGCCAGGCGCGCTAGCGGCCGCAGCGGCGGCGGAGCCACGCTTCTACAAAGATGTGTGGCAGGTAGTAGTGAAACCCAGGGGGCTGGGGCACAGAAAAGAGCTGAGCGGCGTGTTCCGGCTGTGTCTTACCGATGAAGAGGTCGTGTTTGTGAGGCTCAATACCGAAGTGGCCAGTGTGGTTGTCCAGCTCCTCAGCATTCGTCGCTGTGGGCACTCAGAGCAGTACTTCTTCTTAGAAGTCGGCAGGTCCACCGTCATCGGTCCAGGAGAGCTGTGGATGCAGGTGGATGACTGTGTGGTGGCCCAAAATATGCATGAATTGTTTTTGGAGAAGATGAGAGCCTTATGTGCAGATGAATACCGAGCCCGCTGCCGCAGCTACAGCGTCGGTGTTGGCGCCCACCTGTTAACCCTGCTGTCCGCTAGGAGGCACCTGGGCTTGCTGCCACTGGAGCCTGGCGGCTGGCTCCGAAGGTCCCGCTTTGACCAGGTTTGTCACCTCAGAGCCATTGGTGACGGGGAAGAGGAGATGCTCTTTACCCGGCGCCTCATCACACCCAGCGAGCCTGTGCCTCCCTCCAGGCGAGGAAGGATGCACCTGCCCAGACCACGGAGGTCCCGGAGAGCAATTTCGGTACCACCTAGCTTTTTTCACCGCTTAGCACCTAGCCAGGTATGTGCCTCGCACCCTGAAGAAGCCCCCAACGATGGAGCCTCAGGCTCCCGCTCTGGCAACTCTGGAGGAAAAGACAAGGAGGATGAAGAAGGAAACGAAGGTGACTACATGCCCATGAACTACTGGGGCTCAGGAAATGGTCGTGGCTCAGGAGGTGGCCAGGGCTCAACTGGCCAAGGCTCCAGTAGCCAGAGCTCAGGTGGGAGACAGGGATCTGGAGGTCGCCAGGGCTCAACTGGCCAAGGCTCCAGTAGCCAGAGCTCAGGTGGGAGACAGGGATCTGGAGGTCGCCAGGGCTCGGGAGGTCAGGGCTCAGGCTCTGGAGGCCAGGCTGCGGGAGGAGGAAACCAGTGCTCTGGAGATGGATGGGGTACCGCAGGTGGCCATGGCTCAGGCGGAGGCCAAAGGCCCGGAGGTGGTCACGGCTCAGGTGGTCAGGGACCTGGAGATGGTCATGGTTCTGGTGGCAGAAAGAACTCAGGAGGGAGAAAGGGCTTGGGAAGTGGAAAAAACTCTGATGATGGTGATCATGGAAAATCTCTGAAGAAAAGATCTTACTTTGGTAAATTCACTCAAAGCAAGCAACAGCAAATGATGCCTCCACCACCACCTCCACCTCCACCTCCACCAGCTGGAGCAACTGGTGGAAAAGGGAAGTCCGGGGGAAGATTCCGACTTTATTTTTGTGCTGACAGAGGGGCCACTAAAGAACGCAAGGAAGCCAAAGAGGTGAGAGTTGTGGAGACCCCAAAAGGTGCAGCCCGGGGTGCTCACCAAGTCAGAGCCTTTGATGAAGATGAAGATGACCCATATGTGCCAATGCGGCCTGGGGTGGCTGCTCCTCTAGCCAGCTCCAGTGATTACATGCCAATGGCTCCTCAAAATGTCTCTGTTACACAAAAGCGCCACTCTCGATCACCTTTTGAAGACTCAAGAGGATATATGATGATGTTTCCCAGAGTGAGCCCACCACCACCTACCCCAAGTCCCCCCAAAGCACCTAATTCCAATAAAGAGGATGATTCAAAGGACAACGACAGTGACAGTGACTACATGTTTATGGCTCCTGGAGCAGGTGCAATTCCTAAAAACCCCAGAAATTCTCAGGGAGGCTCTTCATCCAAAAGTTGGAGCTCCTACTTCTCTCTGCCAGATCCTATTCAGAGTTCACCACTGGGGCAGAGTGACCCTAGTGACTATGTTCCGATGCTACCTGGAAAAGTCCTGGGGAAGGGCCCAGACAAAGAAGCCTCCTCTAGCCAGGGCCCCAAAGATGAAGATTCAAAGCCTCCAGCCCAGGGGTCATTCTCAAAACCTGAAGATGGGGGATCACCTTTAAAACCTTCAGATACAGAATCCCCAAAGAACAAGGCTAATAGACCTAACCAACTTTATTTTATTGCAGAGGAAAATAAAATCAAGCCCAACCCACAAAAGCCCACAGAGGAACTGAGAGAAGCTGACAGCTCTCCTGACGACTTCAACATGGGCTTCCCTAAGAGAGAACGTGCTATGCTAGCTCTTTGTGCTCCACCACTGCCAGATTCATGGGGCATAATTGCTGGTCCCAGACACTCAGCTTTTTCTAATTACCTGAATGTTGGGTTCAGAGTGTCATTTCTAAATTCAGCAAGCCGCCTCTCAGATATTTTAAGAGATATACCAGGTGCCAACCCCTTCTTTCTGGACGGTGCTAGGTGGTCACTTCCTCCTCTTCCACTCAGTGCTACAGGTAGCAACGCTCATGTGGCAGGGTGTGAGTACATCGAATTAACTTTCAACCCAGCAATGACACCAGCCGTGCCTTTTGCTGACCGTGCCATTCGCTATGATGCTGAAACAGGTCGAATCTACGTGGTCGACCCATTTTCTGAGTGCTGTATGGACATTTCTCTCTCTCCCAGCCTGGAGCTGCCACCTGTAGCTAGGCTGCTGCAGGAAGAAGTGCAGGAGAGAGGACGCCCACAAAGCGTTTCCCAAAGTTTCTTTGCAGCAGCCAGCTCCGCTGTCTCCGCTTTCCCAATTGATAGCCTGGGAAGAGACTTTTCCGACCTCTCCGCCTTGGTTGCTGCTCTGGCAGCGGCACCACCCTTGGTGGTGGGCCGGGCGTTAGCTCTGGCCTCCGCATTAGCCGCAGCCCCAGGCATTGGCGCAACCGCTGCAGGCTTCCAGGCTGCCGCTGGATTTGACTCCGCCTCTGATCGCTGGTTCCAACCTGTTGCTAATATTCTTGGTGCCCAGGCATTAAGAGGGGTCCAGGACATTGCCAATGGCCTGAATGCTGGAGCCCCTAACCCAGCTGCAGACATTGGCAGACATGAGAACATCGCGGGTCGGGCAGCCGCTGCAGATGCTGCTCCCCCACTGCCTCCTCGCCACCGCCGGGCTCTGAGACCCCCAGAGAGAGCAGATTCTGAGGAGGAAGAGGAGGACGGCGACAACGACATTTACGTGAGAATGGACTTTGCCAGACGTGACCACAAAAACTTCGACTCTCCAAAAAGAGGTTGGTGAAGTTATAATTCAATTTCCTGAAGTTAATGGCCATTGCTTAAAGAGTGAGTCAATATGCTACTTTCTACAGTATTAGGGATAAGCGAGGTGATATTTAATTAATTAGTGATATTAGACATAGATAGTAGAAGTCAGTTTTACTTATGCACGCGATAACTTTTTATCTTTGCGAAAACGTAAGCTTTTATCTAACCCTTAAATTTATCTGGACAGACTAATTATCAAATACTGTATTATATCTTAGGAGCAGTTAAATTTAAAATACTTACATCGAGAGGATGCTTTCAGCCATATATTCCCTTCACTACCTGAGAATTCAAAGCAGGACACCAGAAACTGAGTTCCATTAACTCATTTTTCAAGCCTGCAATAAAATCTGTTTTTCTACAAGTGTGCAATCCAAGTGCAGGGATATAAGAGCACAGAATATTTAGCAGTAACAAACCAACTAGTAACATAATTACTTTCTAAAAAGCATTCATTGTTATGCTAGTTTGCTGTGATTAACCAAAAAGATTCATTCTCAATTGTTAGCTGAATGGAAGGAGGGCACAAATAATTTCAAACCACAGGTGATAAAAAGAAGATTCTGTTTGTTCCGGAATGTGTTTTTGTGTTGACCTTTTTTTTTTTTTTTTTTTTTTTTTTTTTTTTTTTTTTTACAGAAAAAAAGGGGGGGGAGGGTTTTT